GGAGGTTAAAAGTCCTAATTCAAAGTGCTGGGTATTTTGGGGTTTTTGCTTTTTGTGTGTGTGTGTGTATAATAATATGGAATTAACTTTAAAAAAGGTTTTGCTTTGTTTGTTTGTTTGTTTTAAAGGCTCTAGGGGACCAGATACTATTTGTAAATCGTCCTGATAAGAAGAAAATTCTTTTTTTCAATGATAAGAGCTGTCAGTTTTCTGTGGATGAAGGTAAGCTTTTTTACGTAATTTTTAATTTTTTATTTCACAAGTCTGTCACAATTAGGTGATAAAATTTATAATGCCTATAATACAATTTTAAAGTAGAACATTCTAACATTGCCTTTTCTTAGAACATCTTAATGGTCCCAGTGTCTAACCTATTGTTTTTCAGAAATGTAATTTGAAATATTTTAGATTAAATGCAATTGTAATTATGATATTCCTGTTGTAGTGCTGTAAGATAAACACTGAATTGCAAAGCACAAATTTCAAACCCACCAGCTGTTCCTTGGAAACCCTACACAGGGTAATTATGAATCGAAATTGAGTCAGTAGTACTTAAAAGCAGCAGTAACCTTCAGCTGCACCAAAAGGGGTTTATTTCTTTTTATCTCTTGTTTTACAAAGATAACTATCCAAATAATGAAAGCTTGATACATGCTGACAAAAGGAGCAGACTTATTTTAGTTACTGATGTTCTGTTAAAGAATTTGTATATCTTTTGATTATCAATTTAAGGAAGACGATAACTTTTTTCTGTATGGCAGTTGCAGCATTAGGTGCTGTCTTAGGCCATGTTCTTTAGAAAAGCAAAACCAGTGACATATATAAAGAGAAGTTTATATCAAGGAAATGGCTCACAATTGTAGGGATAGGAGAGTCCCATGTGCAGGGCAGGCAAACCAAGATAGCCAGGAGGCTCAACAAGATAGGAATTCTAAGTTGGAGCACAGAGCAGGGCCTCGGCACTGGAGCAGAGGCGGCAGCAGGGTGATGATCAATTAAGGCCTGGTCAGGTGTGCTGTAGAACTGGCGGTGTGGAGCACACACACTGGGGCTACAGAAACAGGTATACAGAGCCCTAGGGTGACTGTCTGGTTTCCCAGGCCCATCAGGCAAACACAATAGAGCAGGAGGTTGGAGGATGACCCAGATTCGAGATCCAGACCCAGTGGGGAAGAGTGTGAGTATTTCTTGCATGTCCACATCCTAAAGGAAAAAAATCCTTTCAATTGATTGGATTATAGCCAATCATCATAGAGTTAACTATGCATGTTCTTAGCCAATCTTCATAGAATTAACTAACAAGTGCGAAACAACTGGGAATCCTGGCTCAATCTAGTCCACACAGAACCTAGCTATCACTGATGCCAAGTAGTATGTTGGTTGAATCTCTTAATAAATGCATGATACCTGTATTTTGAATTTTACTTAAATATTTGGCCAGTATTGTCATGTAGATATTTATTAATATTTAATTAAACAATGTTTGAGTGATGTTGAGAAATTTCTTTGCTCCTTGTTGTTAAGTGCTGTGGAGTTGATTCCTACTCATAGCAACCCTACATAGGGTTTCCGAAGAGTGACTGGTGAGTTTGAACCACTGACCTTGCTGTTCTAACCAACCTCATAGTCTAGTGTTTATTCTACAGCACCACACCAGGACTCCGATATCTTTGCTAATACAAGTATAAATCTCCTTTTAAAGTAATAATATTTAACTGCAGATGTTTAGTACTTTTGAAATTTCATTAAATTTCAAGAAAATAATAGAATATTAGCTCAATTATAAAATTTCAGAGGTAATAGAAACTCATAGTAAAATATTCTAGCAATGTAGTTTTATGTGGTGAGGGTGTGCTGTCGAATTGATTGCAACTCTTAGTGACCATCTATAGTTTTCGTGGCAGTAAATCTTTACAGGAGCAAAACACCTCATCTTTCTCCATGGAGCAGCTGCTAGATTCGAACTGCTGACCTTTCAGATAGCAGCCCAAAGCAGGGCTCCTGATAGATTTATAATAGAGGTAAAATAACAATATTAAGCTCCTAAAGGTGAAATTGTTGCTGTAGGCTGCCTAGTAATTATACTGACTCTTCTTTATGACAGTCAATAAAAGAAATTTTATTGAATGAGCAATTTTAAACAAATGCATTTACAAGGTTTATACATTTTGTCTGTGACCAGGCTCTTAATTTTCAAGCCTGATATGCTTTTAGATAGGGGGAGTCCTGATGTGGCACTGTGAGTTAATGTGCCAGACTGCAAAGACATTTGAACTGTAAGGTTGGCAGTTCAAGATCACCAGCTGCTCCTCGGAAATCCTATGCAGCGTCACTATGGGTCGGAACTGACTTGATGGCACTTAACAACAACATAGTCAGTTTAGAGTTACTTAGACGACCATGGTTTGTTTTAGGAAATAGAATGTGTTTTTGTTAAAATCATTTCAATGCTTGCCAGACTATCCTGAATGTATTTGACTATCAATTCAAGTTTGTTAATTTAATAGAAATTGAAAAGATATCCCATTACCTCAGTGCTCACCTTTCTGGTAATAAGGGAAGAATTTATATAAACAATTTGAAAAACCTTATACGCAAGCAGTGAACATTGTAGTCATCAGTGTCAGTTCAAAAGTTTGCATATTGCTTAGCAATTTTTGTATTGCTTTAAATCTACTTGGAATTTAGCTTTCATGTCGTGAGAGACCACAGGTTATTCCAGATTTAGCTCTGGATTGCGAACTGAAAGGTTGGCAATTCAAACTCCTCACTGCTCCTTGGAAACCATAGACAATGGTCAGTACTGAATGGGAACTGATCCTAAGCACTTAACATTAGCAGCAACAATAGAAGGTTTACATACAAGGCACTAATGATGGTTTCTTCATGAATATTAGCCTTCTAATCAGAGCCTGAACACAGAGCATTAATTAGCACATGGAAATTAATTTTTATTACTTATCATAAGAAGCAGACAAGGAGCTCTGGTAAAATAGTGGCTATGGATTAGTTCCATGGGAGAAAGATAAGGCTTTTTGCTCCTGTAAAGATTTATAGCCTCAGAAGCCCTGTTTAGGGTCCTTATGAATCGAAATGACTGCCACGCACACTACCACCTCCAAGGAGACAGCATACAACCAAATCCATTGTAGGTGCGTTGATAAGGACTTAGAGCGATGTGGGCTAATGCATCAGACTGCAAAGTCATTTGAAGTGCAAGGTTGGTGGTTCAAATTTACCGCTGCTCCTTGGAAACCCTATACAGGGTTGCTATGGATTGGAATCGACTCAATGGCACTTAACAACACCAACATAGGTCAAAGTATGGAAGCTGACTGCCACATCCTTCTTCTGTGGAACAGCTGATGGGTTCAAACCTTTGGGCTAGCAGCCAAATGCTTAAACGTTGCATTACTAGGGCTCCTGTCAGACAGTATGATGATGTTTTTGTGTGTTGTCGAGTTGGTTCTGACTCATACCTACCCTCTATAAGGTTTCTTAAGCGGCTTCTGGGTTTGAACTGCCGACCTTGCAGTTAGCAGTCCCGAGCTTATCCTACAGCACCACACCAGAGCTCACTAGACAGTATGCAGCAGGACACATTTTGAAGCCATCCCCCTGACTCAGAGAAGGCTTACGTGATGAGTCTTCTATGTGTACCCTGCCCCTCTACTTCCAAATACTGTTATGCCAGTTATCGTTGGCACCTTAAAAAATTACTGCTTTGTACCATAGCTGAGGAACTTGTAAAGGGAGGCCTACCTTCTGCTGATTTCTTTTCCCCAACCTCCCTCCCTCCCCAACCCTGCCAGGTAAGCTTAGTAGCGCTTGTTGTTGTTAAATTCCATTGACTTTGTTCCAACTCACAGTGACCCTATATAGAGGTTCCGAGGACAAACTGATAGGTTTGAACTGCTGACCTTGTGGTTCACAGTCCAGTGCTGATTCAACATGGCCACACCATGAGTTAGGTGGGGTAAAACTTTTGGTATGCATGCTCCACCTTGCACCTTAGCCAGAGAACAGAGACAAATCCCTTAGACAGGCATTTAACCCCAAAGTTTATGTAAAAATGTCACTTGTACATCTGTGTGGACAATCCTGGGCAGTTAGGCAACTTGGCATCAACCACAGAAGGTTTCTCTTTAACGCACTAACAAATGTCAGTCCTCAGAGGGTAGTTTGTTTTGAGGTATCATTATGCCATCTCCATTACTGAGATTTTTTGCCAAGGTGATGAGTTGGGGATTTCCTTAGGATAAGCCCTCCACCTCAACGTCAGTTTGAACTGCAATGTGCTGATTTGAAAACCCTATACAGGATCACTATGAGTTGGAGCCAATTCAACAGCACTTAACAACAAGTGTTGTCTGGGTATTTTAAACGGTTGCCTCGATTATTGGTAAATTCCAAGAACTATTTTCAGAAATCAGAGACAAAAGGTCAAACCTACTTCTTTGTTCCACATGTGAAAACTTTTATAGTTGTCAAATTTGTATGTTTTTTAAAAAGTAATAGGGGTGAATATCTTGATTTTTAAGTTCTTTTTGAGCTTAAAACAAAGTCTTGAATTCCTAGGCATAGTTTACTCATTTGGGAAAAAATGCAAATAAAAAGAAAACTTACTGCAAATATCATATACTCAAATATTAAGGAAGGTCTTAAAATGAAAATATGTGCTTTTGCTCTTCTCTAGTACCTGTCACCCACCACTCGTCTGTCAGTTTGTCGTACTGTGGTGGCTTGTGAGTTTCTGTGATTCTGAAAGCTATGCCACCGGTATTTTAAATACTAGCAAGGTCACCATGGTGAACAGGTTTCAGATGAGCTTCCAGATGAAGACAGAACAGGAAGAAAGAGTGACGAACTATTTCCAAATATTTAGTCATTGAAAACCTTATGAGCAGCAGAGAAACACTGGCAGATATAGTGCTGGAAAATGAGCCTCTCAGGTTGGAAGGCACTCAAAATGTGACTGGGGAGGAGCTGCCTCCTCAAAGTAGAGTTGACAGTGATGATGCGAATGAAATAAAGCCCGTGGGAGTAAAGCCTGCAGAACCTTCATTTGCTGATGGGGCACAACTCAAAATGAAGAGAAATAGCTGTAAACATCCACTGAAAATCGGAACATGGAATGTATGAATTATGAATCTGTGAAAATTGGAAGTTGTCAAAAATCAAATGAAACGCATAAACATCGGTATCTTAGGTATTAGTGAGCT